TATCATAATTGGTGTTAGCAAAGGGCAGGGGAGCAGGGGATTGACCCTCAGAGCTGTTTTCCGAGGTTTTCGTGACTTTTCTAGGGAAAACATCTCTCTGGTGGTGTAAAGTAAACAATGTTCCTGCAAAGGAAGGGAAAAGGTCACTTCCAAGAGGGATCTTCTTGCCCTGCTGGGTTGGTTTTCCCTCCTCAGTGATTTAAAATCTTTCCAGGACTTTATGTTCGGGATTAGCAGCTCAGGAGCTTCCCTTGCTGCTAAAACCCCAGGGAGGGTTTGCTCCATGTGAAACAAAATTGGGATCATCCTCGATAGGAAGTTCAAGTGGCTCCTAAATCCATTTTCAAGTGGCTTCAGCTGCTTGGCTTCTAAATCCAATTTTAAATCCGAGGCACCACGTTGGAATAATTCCCTGCTGGAATCAGCCAGCTGCTGAGCCGGCCTTTGCAAGGTGCTCATTCCGCAGCAATTCCATCTTTTTCCAACCCAAATCTCCACCTCAATCAAAATGCAGCAGCGTTGGATGGAAATCACAGGGATCCTGGCAAAAAAAAGATAAAAAAACCAACAAAACAAAACAAAAAAACACCTTAAAAAAGGGATATTTCCTGTTGTGTTGGAGTGAGCCAGCCCCAAATCCTGCCTGGATTCAGCACATCCAGGGACAGCCAAACAACCTCCCCCAGAAGGGGTTTGATTCCAGGCCCTCCAAGGAAAATGTGAGGGAACAGATGGATGTTTACACCCAGAAACCTCAGAAATTTCTCTCAGAACTCCCAATTCCACAGGGTTTGTTTTCTGGAAAACAAGGAACAAAAGCAGTGAGTTGCTCAGCGAGGTCCTTAGTTCAAAACAAGGCCACAAAAAAGAGAGGCCAGAAGGGGCCTGGAACCCTTTGGAGCCTTGGTTTCCTAACAAGGTTTTGTTGCCAGGGGTTTGGAAAGCACAACACAAAGTTTCCCTCTGGGATTTGGGGTTCCAGGAAGATTCTCTCTGGGATTTGGGGTTCCAGAGAAGTTTCCCTCTGAGATTTGGGGTTCCAGGAATATTTTCTCTGGGATTTGGGGGTTCCAGAAGTTTCCCTCTGGGATTTGGGGTTCAGTGAGGTTTCCCTTTGGAATTTGGGTTTTCAAAGATGTTTCCCTCTGGGATTTGGTGTTCCAGAGAAATTCCTCTCTGGGATTTGGGGTTCCAGAGAGGTTTCCCTCTGAGATTTGGGGTTCTAGGGAAGTTTCCCATTGGAATTTGGGGTTCCAGAGAGGTTTCTCTCTGGGATTTGGGGTTCAGGGAGGTTTCCCTCTGAGATTTGGGATTTTAGGGAAGTTTCCCATGGGAATTTGGGGTTCCAGAGAGGTTTCCCTCTGAGATTTGGGTTTCCAGAGAGGTTTCCCTCTGGGATTTGGAGTTCAGGAAATTTTCCCTCTGGGATTTGGGGTTCAGTGAAGTTTCTCTTTAGAATTTGGGTTTCCAGAGAGGTTTCCCTCTGGGATTTGGGGTTCCAGGAATATTCTCTCTGGGATTTGGTGTTCCAGGGAAGCTTCCCTCTGGGATTTGGGGTTCCAGAGAAATTCCTCTCTGGGATTTGGGGTTCCAGAGAGGTTTCCCTCTGAGATTTGGGGTTCTCGGGAAGTTTCCCATTGGAATTTGGGTTTCCAGAGAGGTTTCCCTCTGGGATTTGGAGTTCAGGAAAGTTTCCTTCTGGGATTTGGTGTTCCAGAGAAGTTTCCCTCAGGGATTTGGAGTTCAGGAAAGTTTCCCTCTGGGATTTGGGGTTCTGGGGATGGGGTGGAGCAGAGGGACCACGGGCTGGGCTCGGAGCCCTCCAGGCTGAGATGAGGATCAGGCTCCCTCTGAACTCCTTCAAATCCACAAACCCCTTCAATATTCCCATGGAACAGTGGGAATCTCAAGCTGGGATCCAGGGGAACTGAAGGATTCAGTTCCAAGCTCCAGGGATCCAAACAACTCCAGCTTTAGGTGGAATTTTGCTCTGAGTCCAGCTTGTGTTTGTCTCTCTGATCCCTGACAGCAAACAAGCCTTCCAAGGTTTTTTTTACTGCATTTCCCATGGGATTTTCATATTTTTCCAACAGGCAGGTGATAGAAAATATCCCATTTTTTAATTAATATTCTGTGGGATGAAATCCAGCAGGTTCAATCAATGTTTGGAGTGGAAGTGCCTGAGGAGCAGGGGACCTGAGCACCAGGATTGGGGTTCCTAAAAATTATTCCCAAAAATATCCCCATTCCTTAGGGGCAGATCATCCAGCTTCCGCTTTCCAACCCCACCCACTCAGCACATTGGGAATTTTGCTGTTTCAGGCCAAAATATTCCAGAATCTGTGGAGAAGGGATGGGAAAATCCCTGGATTTTGGTGGGTTTTTGTGGTTACATTTTCATCTGTGAAAATTCCTTGGAATTCCAGCCCACCCCAGCAGCATCCATGCCATTCCCAGCTCTGGGACGTGGGAATGGGATTTTCCATCGGATCAAATTCACAGCTGGATCAGAGGAGATGAACCTGGTGCTAAATGCAGGGAAACAGGCAGAACCAGCCTGGAGATTTATCCCTGGGATTCCTGGGCTCTTCCCTGGGATCCAGCCAGCACCATCAGCTCGTGCCTTCCAGGCACAATAAATTCACCCACGAGATTCTTTCAGCTCCGTGCAGTTTGTTAAGAAAAGAAAGAAGAACCCTGGCCAATAAAAACATCATTTCTATTAGAAATGATTCCTTCCAAACCACTGGAAAAATGGAATTCTTGCAATTTATTCACTTGGCAGGGGCTGGAGTCAGGGATTTTTTTTTCAGCAGTGGTCATTAGGTTGTTGGTTTTTTTTTCAAATCCATTTCACTGCTTTATTTTTATATTTATTGTTACATTTACTTTTTAGATTTATTATTATATTTTTATTTCTTTTTTAGATTTATTTTTTAGATTTATTTTAGGATTCATTTTTATATTCATTTTAATATTTATATATTTTTTATATATATTTTGGTTAGTTTTTTATTGTATTTTTGTGTCTTTTTAAAATTTATCTTTATTCTTCTGCTGGGGGTTATTTTTTGGATTTATTATTATATTTTTATTTATTTTTGATATTTATTTTTAGATTTATTTTAAGATTCATTTTTATATTTATTTTAATATTTATATATTTATTTTTCTATTTATTTTTATATATTTTGGTTGGTTTTTATTGCATTTTTGAGTATTTTTAAAATTGATTTTTATTTTTCTGCTGGGGGTTTTTAAACCTGGCATCCCATGGAATGGGGATGAAAATCCTGCTCCTTGTTTCAGCCCTGGTGATGCTCTTTTCCCATGGCACACTCAGCATTCCAAGGAGAGCCCGGGGTGGCTGGAGAACAGCTGGATTCAATCTCTGGGATGATGCCACTAAACAACCCCAAATACCAAAAGGAGCTGAGCAGAAAAAAAATTGTCTGGCATGGGGAGAGAAATTTTACCCATTTTTGGAAAAAAAAAAGGGAGGATATCAGTGAGAGAAGGGGGGGAAAAAAAAAGGGAGAAAATCCCAGCATTGTCTTTCAGTGGGGATTGAATGTGTCCTTGCTTTTCCTAAGATGGATTTGTCAGGAAAATGTGGGATTGCTCCTGAGGGGGGGACAGTGCTGGGCAGGGCCAGGAGCTGGATTTGAGGAGCCTGGTGTGTCCCTTCCCACCGGGGTAT